GTTTTTTCATAATACCCAAACAAACTAAATGCATATAATCCAACGGTATATTAACAAATAAATCAAACTTTGGATTTTTTTCTAATACTGAGGTGCCGGTATGATGTTTTTTTTGTTTTTGTACCTAAAATGTTTATCAGTTCTTTTTCCAGAATCAATAAATGAAAAACACATTCTTCCTTTTCTGTGATTCCCTTTTTGTAAACACTTTGAACAAGAATAAAAGCCTGTATGTCCCTTGCAGGGTCATCACAAATTATTCCTTTAATGTTAAATGCAATATATTTGCCACTATTCAAATATCCATTGTTAGTTATTTCAATAATATCTTCTATAAAATCTTTTAAAAAATCATTAGCACAGGGAGGTTTTTCATTTCCATGATTATCCCAGCAGCAGCTACTTTATGCGGAAATACATCTAATGCACACAATATGGGATATATTTGACTATCTGAGCTTTAACTAATTGATAATCCATCTAAATCCGGCAACTGAATTTTAGTTAGGTTTAATTGACCTACACACAACAGGCCAAGAGTCTTAAGTAGACCAATAGGCGAGTATAATCCAGGTTTAACTGTCCTAAAATATAGTTCTAGAATCAGAAGGTAAGTCTAAATCAACCAAAATTGTAATCCATCAAATGCAGTAATCCATTAACTGCTAAATGTGTAATTCTGTGTTCGATGGCTCATGATTTCAGTCCTAACTTAAAAATAATTGTTATGAATTACTTTCCAGATTTGAATGTATAACTTCATCTAAATGAATGGCCCTATCACTCACAATTTCTTCTTCTATTTAATAATTTACATATTTTACACTCATTGACTATTTTAAAGGCACCATCACTAGTAGACGGATCGCCAGTTTTAGGATATTCATTTGAATGATCAGACGATTATTCGGATTCATTGTTTTTATCACATTCCCGCATAAGTATCATATCTGTTTCAGTTTGGATTCAGTTTTATATAAAAATTTGGTGAACGCTTTCTTTTTGGCATGGTCTTGAAGTTATTATTATAAACGTGACTAACTTAAATCACTTATTACAAACATTCAATTCAAATTAAAAAAAAGGAAAGTAAAAACATACTTACATGTTTGAGGTTAGATTGTGGTTAGATTTTACTTTCTGGCGGGCTTCGACACTTCGGCAGTTTTACAACCACCTTCTACCAGGTTCACCAATAGAACAAAACAATAACCACCATTTTTAAAAACCACAAATCACTCTATTTGCACCAACAATGTCGAAAAAAAATATTTTTAGAATAAATAATTTATTATTTATAATTTGATATATTAAAATAAATATTATTTATATAAACACTAATTAAAAAATAGGTAATAATAAATAAAATAGTCTAAATATTATTTTGAATAACTAATTCATTATTTATAATTTGATATATTAAAATGAATATTATTTATTTAAACACTAATTAAAAATAACAATAAATAAAATAATCTGAATATTATTTAGAATATTATATAAATATTTAAGGGATGTTATATATTCATGTACTACAGGATTACCAGATTTTTGAAAGAGAGGACGGACAGACAGGGGATTTTAGGGGAAATAGGGGGAAGTAAAAACAACTCAGTCTATTTTTGAAAGAGTAAAACCAAATTTGGTAGATTTTCACACTTTTATTTTAAAAATAAAAATTTTTAAAATTTAAAAAAAAAAACACTAACATGACATATGTTTCGAAGTACAACTTCTTTTTCAAATGTGACTATTTACAATTCGGTATCCAATATATATACGAAATAATTTAACAAAACAAAGTACTTAAGAAAACATCAATAACATTACAAAATAAACTAACTATTTAAAGTAAATAAGGGTACTTAGGTAATTATAAAATCCATCAAATAACAATAAGATAGCCCATTACCGGGATTATCTCACAGAAAACTGGGAAAGAGATTTAATAAGGGTGAATTATTAATATCTAATTGATCATTTAGTAAATTATCTGAATTTTTAAATCTATTTATTTCAAGTGTTTCTAAATGGTTTAATTTAAGGCTCTTATTTTCTACATGTAAAATTTCAAAGTTGTCTGTAAAAGAATGATTTTCAGCTAAAATATGATTTGAGTAAGTAGAATTATTTTTGTTTTTTGTATAGCTATTATAATGTTCGGAATAGCGTTTTTTGAAAGTACGGCCTGTTTGACCAATATACAATTTTGGACAACTACCACAATTTAATTTATATACCCCCGATTTATTATTAGGATTAATTTCACCCTTATTATTTTTAATATACTTCCCAAGCGTATTATTGGTTTTAAAAGCTACGTTAATATTTTGGTTTTTTAAATATGATGATACCTTTTCACTAGGAGCTCCTATATATGTAAGACTCTTATATCTGCAATTTGGATCTTTAATTATGGGATAAACTTGTTGAATAGCCTGTTTAAAAAGTTTTTTCTCTAAAATGTTGTCTACTAACTTTGAATTAAAATTATTATTTACTGCGATTTGTTTAATGATATTTAATTCTTTTGTGAAGTTCTCTTTGGTAAGGGGAATATTAACTAATCTATGGATCATACTGTTGTATGCTGCCAGCTTTTGTTTGTATGGATGAGATGAACTATTATTTATTGTAATATCCGTATGTGATGGCTTATGAAATATCCCAAAACTATGGCCTTTATTATTTTTAATAATATTTAAGTCTAAAAAAATAATTGAATTATCCTTCTCTGTTTCCATAGTAAATTTAATATTAGGGTGTATAGTATTGATAAAAACTAATAAAGAATTTAACTGTCTACTAGTACCAGTAAAAGCAGTCAATATATCATCAACATATCTATGCCAATACAGACAATGTTTACTTAAATTATTGCTATGAATTTTATTTTCTATATTATCCATAAATATTAAGCGCGTTGCTTGCAGAAATATATATATAACTAAGGCCATAGTTTTGGGATATTTCATAAGCCATCACATACGGATATTACAATAAATAATAGTTCATCTCATCCATACAAACAAAAGCTGGCAGCATACAACAGTATGATCCATAGATTAGTTGATATTCCCCTTACCAAAGAGAACTTCACAAAAGAATTAAATATCATTAAACAAATCGCAGTAAATATTAATTTTAATTCAAAATTAGTAGACAACATTTTAGAGAAAAAACTTTTTAAACAGGCTATTCAACAAGTTTATCCCATAATTAAAGATCCAAATTGCAGATATAAGAGTCTTACATATATAGGAGCTCCTAGTGAAAAGGTATCATCATATTTAAAAAACCAAAATATTAACGTAGCTTTTAAAACCAATAATACGCTTGGGAAGTATATTAAAAACAATAAGGGTGAAATTAATCCTAATAATAAATCGGGGGTATATAAATTAAATTGTGGTAGTTGTCCAAAATTGTATATTGGTCAAACAGGCCGTACTTTCAAAAAACGCTATTCCGAACATTATAATAGCTATACAAAAAACAAAAATAATTCTACTTACTCAAATCATATTTTAGCTGAAAATCATTTTTTTACAGACAACTTTGAAATTTTACATGTAGAAAATAAGAATTCAGATAACTTACTAAATGATCAATTAGATATTAATAATTCACCCTTATTAAACCTCTTTCCCAGTTTTCTGTGAGATAATCCCGGTAATGGGCTATCTTATTGTTATTTGATGGATATTATAATTACCTAAGTACCCTTATTTACTTTAAATAGTTAGTTTATTTTGTAATGTTATTGATGTTTTCTTAAGTACTTTGTTTTGTTAAATTATTTTGTATATATATTGGATACCGAATTGTAAATAGTCACATTTGAAAAAGAAGTTGTACTTCGAAACATATGTCATGTTAGTGTTTGTTTAAAAAAAAATTTTTATTTTTAAAATAAAAGTGTGAAAATCTACCAAATTTGGTTTTACTCTTTCAAAAATAGAAAATAAGAGCCTTAAATTAAACCATTTAGAAACACTTGAAATAAATAGATTTAAAAATTCAGATAATTTACTAAATGATCAATTAGATATTAATAATTCACCCTTATTAAATCTCTTTCCCAGTTTTCTGTGAGATAATCCCGGTAATGGGCTATCTTATTTTTATTTGATGGATATTATAATTACCTAAGTACCCTTATTTACTTTAAATAGTTAGTTTATTTTGTAATGTTATTGATGTTTTCTTAAGTACTTTGTTTTGTTAAATTATTTCGTATATATATTGGATACCGAATTGTAAATAGTCACATTTGAAAAAGAAGTTGTACTTCGAAACATATGTCATGTTAGTGTTTTTTTTTTTAAATTTTAAAAATTTTTATTTTTAAAATAAAAGTGTGAAAATCTACCAAATTTGGTTTTACTCTTTCAAAATTAAATGGATTTTCATCAAGTAAAGGCCGAAACAATAAATAACTCAGTCTATTTTTACTCTTTTAATCAAAATTACTTATTTTGCAAGAAATCCTTACCTAATTTTGGTAAAGATACACTGAGGTGTTTTTACAAATAATAAGGTGAAAATGTAAAGTTAGAAAATCGAGAAATCGCAAATCGAAATCCAAAGTCAGAATCATTTTCACCTTATTATTTGTAAAAACACCTCAGTCTATCTTTACCAAAAATTGGGTACGGATTTTTCAAAAATAAACAGAGTTGTTTTTATTTCCCCCCTGTTTCCCCTAAAATCTCCTGTCTGTCAGTCATCTCTTTCAAAAACCTGGTAACCCGGATGTACTATATTAAAGTTCTCAGAATATTCCTAGAACATTCTCTTCTAGACGAGGATATTATTAGAACATTCTCAAAATATTCCTATAGAATATTCTCAAAACAGAATATTGTCACCTTGTCAGAAATTCTTAGAAAATTATGTGCTGTCTGGGACCTTTCAGAAAGTATAGAAACTATTGTCAACTTATATGTATTAATTCAAACTCAAACAGAATTATACGAGTTATACCACTGATATCTTACCTGCGAAATATATCGTTATACTGAGTCATAGATTTCTTCGGATCATTAGGCACGACTAGAGAATCCACAACAGGACCGAAGCGGGTCTTGTAATCGGGCGTGATTGCACCTGCAGCCATGATTTCATCGAGCCTCTTCCGTCTCAAACATTCAGCAAAATCGTCGTGTATTTGACAGTTCAGTGCTTTCGCAACTTGATATGTTACTTCGCCTGGATTGCCGGCTAATGCCCAATCAGCCAGAGCTGTCCCGCCCATCAGGATTGTCCGATGAAATAATCCTGGAAGTAAATGGTTGGAAACGGTGATTAAAAGGATTTATTTCAAAAATAAAAATAACTGTGATTTATATAAATTATTAAAATTTATAATAGGTAACGATTTTATGTTTTCGTATTCTTATTGATTTATCATAGAAAATTGGATCATCTTTGGAGAGTGATACTACCTAATCTTACGGAAAGTGCCCTATATCACACGCGTGTGGATAAGAATCTACTTTCCACCCATGTGTGAATATCTACTTTCAGCATCAGATGTCAAATATGTCAGATAATAAATTCCTATTTTAATCTATGTAATGTAAATATTAATATTAAAATATATTTGATTATTATATTGCAAATATTGATTTTTATACCTAGACCTTAGATATTAATTTTTAACAAATTATTAAAATAATTTAAAAGTAAATTATTTTTATATATTTTTTTTTAATATATATTTTATAAGATAATTCATAAGCTTGGTAGCTCAGTTTATAAAGCGTTTAATAACTTTAATAACTTTTGCATGTCACTTCATTTCGTGACTATTGTTGTTTATTGGTTTAAAATAAAAAAAATTTCTGCTGTCAGTAATTCGCTTAACATATCTCATTTTAATCAATTAATGTCGCAACTAGTGACTTTAAGTCAATCTGTTGAAACTTGTAATACTAACATTACAGATTTAAAGTCTATTATTGATACACAAAGCACAGAAATAAATGAATGCAAAAATGAATTATCCGCATTAAGAGATGAAAATCAATCCATACGTAATAAAATTCAAATTCTTGAAGCAAAGATCCAAAATAATTCTCCTGACAGCTTTTACATGAAGTTCGAGACAGAGTAAACCGTGAAAAAAATTTGATTATTGTTGGTCTTGTTGAAAATCAAACTAAAAACCTTGATATTGAAACATCTAAAGCTTTTATCGAACACTTTAATCCTAATCTTGAAATAAAAATTTTTGACGCGATTCGTCTTAGAAAACTCGAAAATTGAAATGTACTTTCGCATCCCAGACCATTAAAAGTCACTTTAGATTGCCCTAGCTTGGTCAAACATATCCTAAAAAACAAATCTAAAATTAATAGTGCGAGTAAAATATATATTAAAAGCGATAATACTCCGTCCCAATTAAACTATTTGAAGAATCTAAGAGATGAACTGGAGGTTAGAAAGAAAAATGGAGAATATCTTACCATTAAGTATATTAAAGAGGTACCTGAAATTGTTGCAATGATCCCAGAAAATGAAAATAACAAAAAAAGGACTAAAGATTCGAACAGCCCAACCAACACAACTGAAGGAACCTACAAGATCTTCAAACATATGAATACTTCTTCTGTAAATAATATTGGTGCATCGCAAAACAAACAATAGCAACCATTACAAATTTTCTTCTGGAACTGTCAAGGTTATGCAAACATTAGTGAATTTATTACTATTACAAACTTATTTTATGTTGATATACTCTGTATATCTGAGAAAATAAAACTTGTCCCCATTTTTTAAACACATTTAATATAATTACTGTTAATGCCATCAAAGAGAAATCTGCTGGTAGAGCTAGTGGTGGTTTGTGCATTTTTTATGGTAAAGATTTTACATGTGAAGTACTAGATAATTCCCCTTGGTGGCTAATCTGTTTAATGAAATCTCAATTTAATGGCTTTATTGTATGTAACGTTTATTTTAAACCATCCTTAAATATTTCCTCATTATTGAAAATCTTTCAAATTACTTTAAATGAAATAATGTGCTCTTTTCCTGACTCTATGAATATAATTGGCGGGGATTTTAACTGTAGGATTGGTAATCTAGGACACTTACCTTTGGAACTTATAGAAAATACTAATTTATTTAAAGAAAGACATATGATAAGGTTATTAATTCGAGAGGAAAATCTATGGTTGAATTTATGTATTCTAACTCATTTTCGTTATTAAACGATTGAACACCATCTGATAGGCCTGCTAATTTTACGCATATCAGTAAATTGGGCTGTAGTGTGATAGATCTGGTTTGGATAAATAATTTATACTTGCAATATGTGGATAATTTTTTCGTATATAATAATGAACTGACTTCCGATCATTTTCCTATTTGTCTAAAATGAAATTTTGTTAATTATAGATCATTAACTAATATAACAACTAATACAAATATTATACAGAGAAAATTATGTTGGAATAACAATCCTTCTTTATCCTTTAAACTTATGATGCGTGATTCAAATAGGATACATTTTTATTGAAAATATAGATGAATCTTATAATAATTTTTATGCAGCTATACATGAGTCTGCAGATAACTTAAACTTAGTAAAGACCATTCCTTCTAAAACTGTCAAAAAAATGGGACTAAGCAAACCTTGGTTTGATGATGCTTGTTATGCCGCAAAAAAACAATTAAATTTAGCTCTTTCACATTGTCGAAACAACAACTTTTCCCGAGATACTCTAAATAAATATACAAATATGAAAAAAGAATATAAACAAATAATCAAATTTAAAAAAAATATATTTGATTATTATATTGCAAATATTGATTTTTATACCTAGACCTTAGATATTAATTTTTAACAAATTATTAAAATAATTTAAAAGTACATTATTTTTATATTTTTTTTCTTAATATATATTTTATAAGATAATTCATAAGCTTGGTAGCTCAGTTCATAAAGCGTTTAATAACTTTAATAACTTTTGCATGTCACTTCATTTCGTGACTATTGTTGTTTATTGGTTTAAAATACATTTTATTAATCATAATACAACCCAGTTAATATTTCCGCTGTTTATTTTGTACTATTTTTATTAATGTTCAGAAAAAACTATAAGTAGTTAAATAGGTAATCATCTTCAATAATAAAAAAGTTTGTTTTTTGTAATAAATAATAATTCTTAACAAAACTAGTTCAAGGGAGAGTTGCGTAATGGTGCGCAGCGAGTAATCATGCGCGCCAAAATATTTCAAATTTCGCGGGTTATCCGGAGCGCTCGACCAGTGCTGCTCTCTCCTACGCGATGGCTCAATTACTGGCGCGATCATAGGTGACGTCAGTTTGCATACCATCGCCGTGAGATAGACTCATCGATTTTTCAACATATATTTATAACTTATCGGCATCAGAAAATAAGGCGGTAAATGCACAATTTTTTTTCAATAATTTGAAATGAGCTGTTTTCTTATAATCTAGTATTTTTTGAATGCTTTGGCACATTTGAATGATAAGTAAATAAATAGTTTTTTGTCGTATCATGGATTTATAAAACATAAACGTAAAGGGGTAATCGTGCACATAAATGCACATTTTTTTTAGCCTATTGTTATTTTACCATTATCATTCTATATAAGTGTTTGTAAATTGAATTACAATGTTTCTAATTATTACGATAAAACGCCATCCGTAAAATACTTTAAAAATTATTCAATAACGCATATAAAAACAAATCTAAAACTAGCAATATGTTGACTGAACCTTTATAGCCAGATTTCCTAGTTTTACATTTCTTAATAAAAGTATTTTAAGATCATATGAAGAATATTGTACATCACTTGTGAAAGGGTGATTTACACACTCGTGCGACAATATTTTCTCGTGTAAATGTCACTTTTACACTTATAATGTAATATACTATTTAAGGTCATTTTATTTTATAAATTAATAAGAGATCGATTATTTTAAAAACAGTTATTTAACCAATAACCTCTAAATTATTTTTTTAAATTTGTAGTGGGTCGCAGAAAAAATATACTGTTTAACTCGATTATCGTACTCAGACGATTAAGCACATACAGCGTTCTGCTCAAATTTTGTATTCATACGATATGGCCATCATATCCTTTCCTCTTACAAAAATTACTACTCTACCACTCCCACCATTATGTGTTTATTACTGCTGAAGGAATATTCCCAAAGTACTTTTCTTAACTGTTTTGTAAACATTTTTTCAGCTCTTATAAAATATTAAATTGTTTTTTGGACTCCTTATGGTAGAACTTTTTTTATTTTACATTCTGACTGTATAACCTATATTGTTTAGTCTCCATTTTGCTGTTCTCTTTTTAGGTTAAAGTTAGTCTTTTGATAGAGTCTATTGTATATGCTTTTAATTCAAATGAAGGTCTCATTAAAACATCTACTAATTAGCAATTATTGGTTTACGTTAGCTTTCGTCGTAAAGTCAGTCATAAATTCGCCAAGTTAAACTGCGTTATCGTTAACTGAAACACATCAAACTTTTTATTGATACTTTTTTAATACGAGGTTGCGATGAATAGTTACAAAATAACAATGAAAAACGTCATAAGTAAAATACTAGAACGCTCGTTTTACTATGAAAATTAGAAAAATCTTTTAAAAATTTGTAGAACTCTGGTGAATTTCGGAATAATTTAAATTTACCGCGCATCTAACGTTTTAAAATTGCGCCAGCATCGCGGACTGAGTTATGTGCTGTGCGCGAACGAGTTCCGACTTCGTATCGAACATCAGCCAGATATAGAGCATTGGTACTTCACCCAGTTCGGTTATAAACTATTTATATCCTAATCACATGTATTTTTATTAAATGAATAAATTCGTTAAATGTAAAAGTGTTACATTATTATCAATGAGAAAATAATAGCATTTAAATCACAAAATTATCCATGGTCCTTCGAGCCGGATGCATACAATTTTGTAACCAGTGCAGTGATAAACTATCAGAATCTTCGAGGGTGAAAAACAAATGTACCAGCTATCATCAAGTACAGCTCCCGGTGAGTTCTTTCCTTTTTATCAATATCCTGTCATAGTCCCGAAATAATTTAATGGTTGGGATTTGTATAGGATTTTCGTAATATATTTTTATATTATAATCACATCAAATTATTTTCGTAATATTTTTTATATTACAATCACATCCAAATTATTTTCGTAATATTTTTTATATTACAATCACATCAAATTATTTTCGTAATATTTTTTATATTACAATCACATCAAATTATTTTCGTAATATATT